AAAAGCTAAAACACAACGCACTTCCGTTTGCGTAAAGTTACTTTTGTGAAACTCACTGTTTGATTCAAAATTAACACCATTAAAGTCATTTTTGTTGAAAAAAAAAAATCCAATGTCGTACAAATATTGAAACATTGTCATTTGATGGCAAACATTTCAATTTCAAGGCTTAATTTGGGGGCTATAATAAACACAAATTAAAGTTAAGTCCTGACACTATTTTAAGCAAATAAGCGTAATTATAAAAATTATAAAAAAAGAAAAGTTAGAATATTTGAAATAAAATTATTAGTTTATGATTTGTTGTCACTAGCCTATATGATATGTCATGTTAAGTTTCATTTAAGAGGTGATCCCGACGAGATTTGATGTGCTGTGGTGAATTGAAAACTTTATAATTTTAAATATTTTTATAAAAAAATTTAATTCACTAAAAAATTTTAAATTGTGATTACTATAATATATTATATTATGTTATCTCATAAATACATATACATATATATATATATATATATATATATTTATATATATATATAGTGTTGAAGCTTCAGAAGTGGCTTCTTTAAAAAGTGTTTTTTCATAAATTTTCCCGAATTGCTGTGGTGTAATTTGCAAGTTGTTTGTGATGCTGTGAAGTGTGAAACTGCCTGCTTTTACCTTAAGCAGCTAACTCAAAATTATATCTATAGTCTTTTGAAATAATTTATTCCAACTAGAGCTTAGAATTCATTAGATATTTCACAAAAACTTTTTATTTTTGAGAAATATGCAGAAAATGTACGGGTACTTCTAAGTTTGAAATATTACCAATAATATGTCTTAATTCTTGCAAAGCCATATATTTATATATTATATGCAAACAGCCCCTAACGCTTTTCCCTTTTTTTATTACGCACAAATACAAATATTTATTATTGTTGTTTTTTGTTTTTGCTATTAAGCGTACAATATTATATTTGTTTGTGATTTTGTTTCCTAGTTCTTGCGGTTAGCAGACAGTCCTTATTTTCGGAGTCGTTGGAAAGTTAAAAAAAATCGCGGGAAAGGTGGGGGGCCGGTCCTCTATGGTCCCACACAGAACCCCTGATGAGACTCTGCGGCTTTCTAAATCTGGACCGTTCATTGATCGGAAAACATGAACAGAACTCAATCTGAGCACGTGTCTCATAGTCAACGCCCCTGCTTGCTTCCTTGGTTGACAGCTGCCTCTATAGCAACTAGTAACCAAATAAATACAAGCATGAAAAAAGCTAATAAATAAATAATACAAGCAAAAAAAAAAGCTAATAAATAAATAATACAAGCAAAAAAAAAAGTTAATAAATAAATAATAGTGGGAATAAGACTTCCCACAGGGCAATATGCTAGAATGACTTTCCAACAAAGTGAAATTAGCAAAATGACCTTCTATTTTTTATAAAGAAAGACATTTACTCATTCTTTATAAAATAAAGTCATTTTGTAAATAAAAATTTTTGAGAAGTTATTTTACTAATAAAACTTTTCAAAAGAGTTATTTTCACAAAGACCTCCTTGCCACAAATAACAAATGATGGCAATAATTAATGGTATAAAAAATAACTAGGAAGTCCATTTTGACAATATTACCCTTGATAAGATACCATAACGGCAACTGAAGCTGCCAATAAAATTCCAGTCCAATTTGATCACGAGATACTTCATGAGTTAAAATACTGTATAGTGTATAGCATTAATTTATGAATCTTTGTAAGCAAAAGAATTTTAAATTTACATATAATGTTTGTCCAAAAAAGGAAAACGCTTTATCAATGTTTTTGTAATTATTTTTGAGATAAATCAATTTAGTACCCTATGTTATAGTGAGACATGCTTTTGGTATCATGTATTTTTAATAATATTAAAACGATATTTTGACGTTTTTAAAAACATCTTTTCGGTACCCTGAAGTTGATTTTTGAGACACATAATGTCCAAACTATCCTTTTGATTAATTAGATAGAAATCAATATCTTTTTTCTAAAAAAATATGAAAATATTTTAAAATAATAAAATATTTAAAAGAAAACAACAAAACAAAAAAGTTCATGATTTTTTTCCTAGATTTATTAGTTTTTAGTTAATTAAATAGAAAGGAATTAAGGTCATTTTATGTCTTAAAAATTAGTTTTAGGGTACCAAGAAATTATTTTTAAAAACGTCAAGGTACCCTTTTAATATTATTAAAAATATAGGATATTAAGAGCATATTTCATTATAACACTGGGTATCAAAATGATTTTATCCCTTTATTTTTTTATGTCATAGTCCCAGTAACAATAACATGTGTGTTAGACCCATTTCTGTAAGTTTACATAAAAACCCTATTTCTGATATAGCAGTAGTAACAATAACTACAACAGCAGCACAACAATAACAACAATAATAATAAAAGGTGGATCGGCCAATAAGGTCTCGTTCTTTTTATGGATTTATATCGAAAATTTGAGTTGAAAAGAAAATTTTTATAAAAAAAAATATTATAAAAAAGTTAAATTGTGATTCAAATTGTTAAAAGAACGTGCCTAGCTAATTTATTTTTAGTGGGATATTTTTGTAGTCTATATCTCTATTTTCTTTTTACATATTTTCCATCCCTTTTTATCTTTCCTCAAATTAATATATACCAAGTAATTTTAACTAAATTTTAAAATCTGGGCCCTAACAAAAATATGAACTTCAGAAATATTGTAGTTAAGTGTTGATTTAATTAAATCAGGTTCTTAATTTGGAACAATGAGGATATACTAAAAACTTATGTCTAAGTACTAGACATAGATGAAACTTTTTAGTAAAAATTATCATGTAATCTAATTTTAAACTAGAGGATTTCAGTGAAGTAAAATGAGAGTTCAAATGAAAATTAATAACATTGTCGGCAAAAGCTAATTTTTGTGGGGGAATTCTGACATTGATTATAATGATATTAATAATTAATGATAAACAAACAAACAACAACAACAATAGTAATAATGCTAATTATATATATGATAAACAACAACTTGCTTCTCTTCTTAATAAAAGAAATGTCGTTACAATGTATAAATAGTTGAAGAGAGACTAAACTGAGAGACTAAAGCATATATATATATATATATATATATAATGTATGTGTGTGTATATAGATACATATATTCTAGAGTTTATGCTCTAAGTTTTTTTATTGAGTTCAATAGTGCTCTTTGGTTTTTATTACATTTGTGTGATCCGATGTGAATTCAGACCCAACGAATATTCTCAGACATTTTTGGATAGAAGTTATTTTCTTCGTACTCAATGTGATAATTTGCGCCAAAAGAATAATTTTGTGCAGCAAAAAACACTTGAGATCAGCATATATGTAGTTAATTTGGTTAATTAACACAGCGATCGAACAACTAATTTTAATTTGTACATGTCAGTTTTAATTTGTAGATTCTGAGTTTCTTTAAATATTAGATTAATGCAAAGATTAGTATTAATAGTAGTATTTAAATTGTTAGATGTTAATTAAGTCAATCAACAAGTATTACTTTGGATGTTGATTATCAAAAAACAAGTACATGTATATTTTGATGTTCGATAAGTAGTTGTATAGAGTCAGTTTGATGTTATTGTGACTTTTGGTAAGATGATTGGGAGAAGCTAAAATGGAGAACATTTTGGGTTAAAATTTTTTCTCCATGTGGAAAAGAAGAAAGATTATCGTATAAATTCATCTCCATGGCAATTTGAGGACTGAAAAGTTGTCAATAAATCAAAACTACTTCGTTTTTTCCATTAAAATAAAAAAGTATTCTTGTTGACACATATCTCCATCCAAATATTGATTTTACGAGTAATACATACATATATATATATATATATAGTGTGTGTGGTAATTACATGCATTATTGTGAAATGACGTCTGCTTTTATTGTTTATAATTCTTGGAGACTTTCAAGTATTATGCCCTTTTTCTTAATCTTATTGGAATTAATATATGATAAAGTTATTTTAATAGCATTTCTGATAATTCATTTATTATATTCAGCAAACTAAATATGCTTAGAATATAACTCCTGTTTTCAAGACGCAAATCTAGTCTACAAAATTTGGCTTTAATCTTTTTCCCTTGAACGGCATCCATCAATACATTCAAATAATGAAAATGCTTCTAACACTATAATTTAATTCAAAACCGTTTTATTTACTAGAATTTTATTTGAAGGTGTTATATATATTACGGCGAGAGACCAAACCTTTTTTTTTTTATTTGGAAAAGTTTTTCAAAAGCAATAATCTATCGTTTTTATGAAAAGTAATAGAAAGAATAAAATTTTGTTGGTGTCCTTCCTATTAGAAAGAGAGTAATTATCTTAAACATTTTAACTAAGGAGCTAAAGTGTTGACAAATTGACAATATGGTAACAATATTCACAAATAAATTAACTTTGGTCCACATTATTTAATAAAATTCTCTCCACAATTTTATTTTTTTTTTCCACATGGGAAAAAGAAAAAAAGCAAAACACAGCCGCCTCAGATATCTACGTGTAAGTTTGCATGAAAATGTCAATAGTAGAGTTTCAAACCAACCAAGGCAGTTTTGTCATTTCAGCCTCAATAGAAAAGAGGCTTGGACAAGGAAGCTATATATGTGCGTGTGTGTGTGTGTCTATATATATATAAAATATTACAACATATACTTACAAATACTGCCCATAAGGACTGGTTTTTCCTTATTTGTGGTTTTCCAATTAAAACAAAAACCAGTTTGTTTTTTTTTTTTTTTTATTTGTTTTATTCCAAGTCTTCTCTTTAAAAAAAAAAAAAAAAAAAAAAAAAAATTCATAGGAGAGAGAAAGTTAAAGCGGATATCTTGTTCTTGTAGAACCGCTTTATCTGAATATATTTTCGGTTTGCAAGAAGTCGTCTACTTCTTTAGAGAGAGAGAGAGAGAGAGAGAGAGCTAAAAGATAGAAAAGCTTAATCTCTTTTGTTCTCTTGTATTCAATTCAATT